AAAGGTTTAAATGAGAAGCGAACGTTTTTTCAAACAGTTTTGGTTAACATTTGAAAAAATGGCGAATGCACTGGGAAACTTCATAATAATATTATACAGTATGGCCATGGATGAAGTTACAAAGAAAAAAATATTTTGCATTTCTCAGAACATTTCATTCTTGAATTAATAAAAATATTTGATTATGTTTTGCCAGTATTCGTTCAAAATAATAAATAAAAGTACACACTTCTTGTTTTATAAAAACAATTTTGTACGACGCTGGTAGAACTAATGTTGAAAGGCTTATAAGGGTTTTATGAAAATAAAAACGTTTTATTGAGTATTTTTTTCTACTCCCACCTTTAAAACATTTTCATGACACTAAGTGAGGAGTGATTTTTCAAAAGGTCGTATTTCCATTTGCAACACATTTTCAAAAAACGAATATTACCTGTATAGGTTAGGGCAATATAGATTATTTAAAAAAAAATCTGATAAATATATAACACTACTTCAGACCTTTTTTCGTATTGGTGGTTTAAATTTAAATATTTATAGCAATGGTATTTTTAAAAATTATTTGGAAATAAGACCTTTTGTATGAAATCATTTTGGAAATGTACCTTTTTGCTGTGTACAAACTTGGAAATATTACTTTTTTATTGAATACCGTTTTAAAAAAATATATGGAAAAATATCTTTATTGTGCTAACAATATTGAAAAATATGTAAGGCTTATATTTTAAGGATATCCATCCCTGGCTCATTACATAAACACATCACTTCTTCATCGTATTCTTGACATGCAACATCTTGTGCAACATATTCACGATTTAATATATGCGTTTTAACCATACCTTTGTGATTTTGTCGAAAAATGACATTCAAGTAAAAATGGAAATACGGCCTTTTGAAAAATCACTCCTCAAGTTACCTTTTAAATACACATTGACAAGTTGTGGCTTTATGGCGCTTTACTCACGGGCTGAGGTAAGCAACAGGTTTTTAGTCACGGGCTGAAGTTAGTTTTAAGTTAGTTGACAGTTGTCAAACGTCATACAATCGTTTAAATATAATATAGAATTTTCTAAAAAAAACACTAATTTTATTATATAATACAAAAATAATTTTTTAAACCCAATATTTGAAATAGATTTAACTTAATTTAGGGTGGAAAAATACTATGAAAACTGCTTCTATATCGGATTAAACGGTCCATTTTCAGAGGATACATTTGACATTTTATTTCAAATATTTAATTTAAATCATATTTAGATAATACATTGTATAAATAAGTAAATGTCGTAAAAAAAGTATACCTAATATGAAACTCGTTTATAAACTTTTATAGAAACTCATTTAATTAACCACTCGCTCGTTTGTGCCTAATTAAAATTCGTGACTAAAATGGCGTTTATTAAACTTGATACTTAATATACAATTTTAGGAGTACCCAAATGGTTTTAATTTGAAGCCTTTAAGAGCTATAAAACCTCTTTAAAAACATTTTATCCCATCGTATAATTTGCATTTATGAAAACCTTTTTAGGTCCAATTCAAGTCAATTTTGCTTTAAAATAATTTGTTAAAACAGTGTTGCAATTTTTATAAATAATGATAATTTTTTGTTTATATAAAAATTATATAATTAAACAATTAACCAGTGTTTGCATACGTTAAAAAATCATACTTTAAAAAATCACTATAAAACATAAACGACAATTTTAAACAACAATTAAAAAATAGTCGTAAAAATTAAAAAACAATATTACTTTTAAAAGCATCTTATAGATAATATAAGATAATTTTGCCTTATTAGGGTTTGAATAAAGTCCAAATAAAGTTATTTTTAGGAGAAAGCCAAATGCTTTTAATTTGAAATCTTTAAATTAAAGACTTTAATATAGCTATAAAATCTTTTAAAAACAATTTGCATTATTTCCGTCATCATAAAACATTTTTAAAACCAATTAAAGTAAATTTTGTGTAAAAAAAATTGATAAAACCGTGTTGCCATTTTTTTAAATAATGAAAATTTTTTTGGTTATACAAAAAATTTTTAATTAAACTGTTTACCAGTGTTTGCATACCTAGCTATTTTTAAAAATCACTATAAAATATAAACGACAATTTTAAACAACAATTAAAAAATTTCATAAAACAATACTACTTTTATACGAGTAAGCATCTTAATGTAATTTAGCCTTATTAGGGTTTGAATAAAGTCCAAATAAAGTCATTTTTGGGAGAATATATTCTTAAAAGCCAAATTATTTTTTTTGTTTATACATTTAATTGGTTGATATCAGTGTTTGCAATCTAACTATTTTAAAAAATCAACTATAAAACGACAATTTTAAACAAAAATTAAAAAATGTCCATTAATTTATAATGAAGCAAGACTTATTAGCATTTAAATTAAAATTGCAAATAAAAATTGTTTAGTTCAAACGGATATACCTTAACGTTTTTATAAACATATTATTTAACACGTTATTAGCTGAAAATCATTAAAATTACATATCAAGATAAATGACAATTGCGGCAATAAACGGTTGGATGTGTATTTTTTGTAGAAAAATAAAATTCTTAAAAAATACAATAAAAAATGTGCTTGAAAAAATGTTAAGGCTCATCTTTTTTTAAAGAATAATTTTCCTGGACTTGTATCGTTGTAGCTTTATCTAATATCCCCCTTTATCTCCCTATTAAGTATTTACTTAATAATTTATTATTCTTATTCAGCTTCGTGATTTTTAAAAATGGCCTCCAATTGCCTACCATTGAATTCTATTTACCCCTAATGTCTTATTGTTATTTCCCCTTTTGAAAACAGCAGAGATTTTATTGAATTTGCTGTGATCCCGCATTTTTCTGACCCATTGACTGAAATATTCACCCCTCGTTCTATATGCATAAGTTTAGTAATATTTTGGGGTTGAAAATTGTGATTCATTGCACGATGGTAGGACTAAATACTAACCTATGACAAGGAAAGTTTGTTTAAGGGTTTGGGTTTAAGGGTTTGTCATTCTATATGAAAACGTCCAATCGATGTGTTGCTTGGTTTTAGATTTTAATAAAAAAATTAAGATGATATTTTAGGTATTCATTATTAAAACATTGTACAAAGTTGTGGAACATGCCATAGGAGCATAATTTTCTATAAATGTGCTACGTTATCCAAGACAGTTAGTTTGGTTTTTAATTAGTTTGTTTAAGTTAATTTTCTATAATTTGTTGGAAACAGTAAGATGTTATATTTAACCATTTGCACAATATTGTCAAAAAAAGAGTTGAAATCTGTTGTTAAACATATTTCAAAAATAAATGTTACTTTTGTACAATTTTTAAAGTAATTCGTATAAATATAATATTGGACAATTTGTTCGGGAGGGAAGCATCACACCTCCTAAGATAACCAATGAAATGATTTCCCGATTGAAATAAGACGCCGGCCGGTTGCTCAACTGCAATCTGCATCATTGTGAGGTTAGTACCACATTTCTGGTGTGTAATTATTGAATATTATTTTTCCGAATTGGTAGGTAGGTATTTGCAAAATTGTTCAGGGACAGGGTTAAATCAATAATTATGACCTAGCGATCAAATGAGAATAAAAAGTGTTTCTACGTTCCTACTGTGCTACATTTATGATCAGCTTACTATTTACTTTTGTTTGTAATTTATGTTTATTATATTTTTTCAGTTTATATTAACTTAATTCTCTCCTTACAAAATTTTTGTGTTGGTCGCTGAATACATATTTAATATATCGACATTTTTACTATTATAAGTGGAGACGCACTTCATGTTAAATTATATCTCAATATTATTAGAATTAGGTATACGAATTTTATTTTTCAGTTTGTAGTTTATGTTTTGTTATGTTTATTTTATGTTGTCAATGTCAGTTTATATTAAGTTTAGGTATTCTATTTTCCATATTTTTTTGTATAAGTCGCTGAATACATAGGTATCTAAATTAATAATTTAGTTTCATTTTCCCTTTTACCACCCTCGCATCCCAAAAATTATTAAATTTTATGTTTAAATGTAGTATCAGAATCGGAGTACCCACCCCTTGAACTCCAATTGTTTTTGACGCGGCCTAATAAAATACAATGCCAACGGAATAAGCTTTGTTTATAAATACTTCCGCATAGCCACTTAAAGGTTTCGTACCAAGATATTTTAATAGTTTGTGAATATTGCTTACCCTGCCTATTATCGTTAAATATTGTTAAAATTTTTGACGTTGGACGACTGCCCAATATCTGCCTTTTCAGTTTCGTTTCTTTTTAAAAAAGGCGTTTCAATTATTGAGAGAATAATGTCATGAACAGGATTCATTTAAAAAACAAAAATATTTAACTAAAGAAAACTTAACTTAATTGAAACTCAATACGACTTGTTGCTTAATAAAAACTGCTAATTCTACCCGTGCGCCACAATAATACAATAATTAATCCAGACCAAAACTATAAAAAACAAACAACAGTTTTAATTAATTTAATCTGAATCAAAACAAAAACACCCGCTCTACACACACTGCAACACAAACTGCCACCCACCACATCTTCAGTCATGTGATATAAAACCACAAATTAGAGAAAGCCCAAGCTCCCACGCTCTTTGATGGTAAGTCGAAGCTTCACAGGCTATAAATATTTTGACTCTGTTATAATTGATTGATCTTTTAATTTTATTGCGTGAAACTGTAGTAACCCGCCACTGCCTTAAGACGTCCGCTCATCTTTACATAAAGAGATCGTTTGACACGAAAATTCTTCCTTTTTTAATATAAAATCCGGAATCAAAGGAATATTAATGGAATTTGAACAAATAAAAAGTTCCGATATCCCTGGTAATCCCGCCTGGGGGCGCAAAAAAGTCGATCTTTCATTCAAAAGTCTCGAGGCACAGCCGCATCGTGTTTGTGCAACGCCTGCCGCGATAATCCCCACAGTGTTATTGAATATGACGACGAAATGACGGGTGTAATCCTAGAAAGTTACGTTGATTGCAACAAAGGCACCGAATTTCGGTCTTTTTACAGGGTTGGTTTTTTTTGGTCCATTAGTGAGGGGATTAGTGTTTTGAGTTGCGGTCGTTTTCATGGAAGTCACGCCCACGGGTTTGACTTTACACAAGATGTAACGTGATATCCAGAAAACAAAAAAATATCAACTTTACAGTTTTAATGGGCACGTAATTTGTAGCATTTCTTTGTTGGCATATAATTTAAAACAAATATTCACTACTAGATGTAAAAACTTTTAGTTGAGCGTTCAGTGAAGTATCTGTCTCTTAAGCGTTCTCCAAATATTTCGAAGTTTTTAAATATGGGCCATTTAATGGAAACACATAAAATTTAAGTTTTAATTCTCATAGGATATGGCAATAAAACTAAAACACATCAAGAAGTTTGCAATTTATTTAATGCAAAGTATCCAGCTCGACCTATTACTCGTGCTACGGTTAGTAAAATTAAACGGAAATTCAGAGACTGGACATGACAAAGATATTCCAAAACCTGGCCGTCCGAGTATTAGTGAAGACACAAAAATTGACATTTTGCAAGAGAAAATTCTCATTGGGTATACTATAGTAGAGGCAAATTCCCAATACAGGCAAAAAGTGAATGTCTGTACAGGAATGGTGAAAAATCGAATCTTCTTTGACGAGAATATGACAGGACAAACGTATTTGTAATTTTTGCAAAACTCTCTTCTTTCAATATTAGCATAAATGTTTCCCAATGAGAATAGAAGTCCCGATCTACCAAGTGATACCATTTGGTTTCAACAGGACGGGGCACCTTCGCACTATGGGCGTCCTGTCCGTACTTTTTTGGATACATGTTTTCCTGAGAGGTGGATTGGCAGACGAGGACCGATAGTGGCCAGCGAGATCTCCAGATCTCACCCCTCCCGACTATTTCTTATGGGGCTTCTTTTTTTTGCACATTTTTTAATAAATTTGTCCCATACTTTTGCCAGTCACTGTATATAGATTAGTTGCATAATTTAAAAACACCAATTCCAATTTAAAAATATAATGCTAATCAAAGCAATTTACAATAAATCCTAAACACTGTAATCTTGTGTGGTGCTAAATAGGAACTAATTCAGTCTAATAAGGTATTTGGGTGAAAAAGGGCAGCGCAGAGTTGGCCTGGCACTAAGAAACAATACGCATCTGTTGTGGCAACGTTTCGGCACCTTTATGACTAATTTAATTGCATTCTTCGCGTTACTTGGGACCCCGAGACCTGAAAAATGATGAAAGGAAACGTTGAGAAGAGGTGAAACCAGAAACGCCCCACAAACAACACGCAGAAGGGCACAGTGATGCCAAACAAGAAAAAAAATAAAATTGTGTTTGACAGATAACAACTCAAACGTTTCAAAAAGTTTAAGAACATATGGTATTATTGTTTAGCAAATAACGGGGCACAATAAGAATATTTAACAGTAGATTGTTCTACAAGTAAAGAAAATTGAAGGAACGAACTTTTCTTACGAGTTGAACATGCTATTTTTTTGTATCCTTAATGGAAAAAGTGGAAAACTTAAAAATAATTTAACAAAAATTTATAAATTGACAAGAAAAATTGCTGAATATTTGAAGCTTTCTGATTCCAATAGCTACACAGGGCATTGTATGCGAAGGGGTCCAGCTACCATGTTGGTTGATATTATCAACTTGATAATGGGGGCAGTATCCCTGATTTGAAGAGACTGGGGGGATGGTCTTCAACATCTTCTGCTGAGGGTTATATAGGAGAAAGCATTCAAAATAAAATTCTTACATCGAAGAAAATTTTTTGAGGCTCCAATCAACAGGAAGCTTCAAAGGAAGACTCAGCACTTATCCTCATCAATTTCAACTATCATGGATGTTTCATTAAACGAATTTTCCAAATGTACAAATGGAATTTTATTCCAAAATATATCTAATTCTACATTTAATATTTATGAACATAAAAATTGTGAATAATTTTTTTCGTTAAATGTAAGATTTGTTTGTATGGTTGTGTTGCTAACGATTCAAATGTTGCTACTATTAAAGTGTTTGTAACTATTAATTTCTTTATTGAATTCTAGCCAATCAAATGGCTGTTTTCCATTAAGGATAATAATAATAAGGATAATTTTTTTATGTAATTCTTTGTTATTTTATATCACACCTGTGATCGGATTTTAGTTTTTTAATCTTAAAGGATCAGACATTGCATTTCCTTTAAAATGATGTGTCGCAAGTTATAGGGTGTCATTTCAATTTTTTTAGTAAGGGTAGCTGTTATAGTAGGTAGCTTGTAAAGTTAAGTATACGTAATAGCTTATTACTAGAAATAATATTATTACTAATAAGACCCACCTAACTTTTGTAGTGTTACTGTGCGTAAAACTTACATCTCATGTTTCATTCTTCTCACTGTTCTACCAGACATAAAGGCTCCAAAATGGGCCACCCAATACCCTATTTTAACCTTTTGAATGTTCACTAATAACTTTGTATTATTTTAAAATAAAACCCGCTATAACACTTGCCTGGAGCAGAACGACATTTTTCTGATTTTTTATTATTATTATTTTTTAAATTTTTGTTACGTAAAGTTGCCGCCATTAATATTTTTTGCGCGTTGCGAGCGTATAGCCCTAAGCGCCAAATAAAATTTCCACATAAAGGTTGTTATTTAAGTATTACAACATTTTGCATATAAGAAGGTATAAATGTATCGATAATGATACAACGAAGAAAAAATAAAAAGTGCTGATGTTGAAGCCGGTATCTCACTAAATAATCTGGATTACGATCTACAAAACAATCTCAACATTTATGAGTTTAGAAGATGATTTTTTTGTTTTTGAATTATCAGAAAAATTTACTCCTGATGTTTGTTTTCAAAACCATAAAACTCATCTAACACTGTAAAAAATATTTTTATTTATTTTTTGGATTAATTAACTTAAAATTTCCATATCAGTGGAGAAAAAAGAAGAAGATTTAAAAAATTGTAGTACCTCTACGTATGGCCACGTTGTCACAATGGGTGTGATATGTCAAGTGCGTCAAGTGTTGGGACACGGCAACCATGGCGAGTTGTCCCATAAATCTCGTCGGCTCAGAGGGTGGGCCCGTGTGTGTTGCGGGCCGCCAAAAGGGCCGCCGCACAATGGGGCCCATTCAGCGGCCCGCACCGACAAAAGCCGACAAGCTAAACCGAACAATTAAGCGACTCGGGCTGCCTATTTTGCTTTCCCTTTGCTCTGCTTTATCGAGGTGTTGTAGGTATTTGTAAATGGGATGTTGGGTAGGTGGAATGGGTCAATAGGTAGCGGATGTCTTCCGGACTACACATCCATCCCAAAATTTTAAAAACTACACCGAAAGAAATAGTTTTAAATTAAGTACTACAATATTGTTGTAAAAAAATTGTGGTAATATGGCACCAAAACAAGAAAAGAATTTATGTCACTGTCGCTTCACTTGCTATGGTCTAAATTGAATATAGTCCATAATTTTGTTGTAAGATAGTTGTCGCAAAATGTAACATTAAAACTAAACATAAACAAATTGTGAAAATAATGCATTTAGTCTGTGATGAAGAACGCAACAATACACTGTTCAAAATTTCATGACCACTTTAACACCAAATTAAAACCATACATGGTCTATATCGAAACAAACCAAAATGGTGTTAAATATGGTTCGTTGGTCCAGTGTAAATTCAAATACTAAAATAGTGTCAATTTAACTTTCACACAGTATTAAAATAAATTTTACCTGGTGTAAATTGAACTCCTTTTCAGTGTTAAATATGTGTTTTTGATCAAACTAAATCATACTACACAGAAAAAAAGGAAAGTTCCTTGATGCATTACTAGTATATTACCAGTGGTATTATTCTAGAAAATTAAACCTTCAACTCGCTAGAAATAATGTTTTTAGTGCGTTCCACCAACTTAAAATACTTCAAGTATTGACAGCTGTGTCCACCTATTCAAGGTCTCTATCGAACAACTTGTAGTGTCACACCAAAGCAAAGGACTACCTAAGCTTATATACTCTTCATAAAAGTCAACAGAGGCGAGATTTAAGAACATCACGTGATCCACACCGCCTTTGCCGCGATCGGTACACACTATGCATTGCATAGTATGCAACCAGGAATGCACGGCTAATTGTTTTAATTGTTTTTACAGAGTTATTTGGGTTGAAGTAATTCTTATTTTACAAACATATTTAGTAAACTGAACCATACAGCGGGTTGGTTTCACTAAAGTTTTCTGGGTTAATTTAACCAACTAAAAAAAATAAAATAACTATCTGGTTTAGTACCGTCAAACTAATCTTTGTTTATATTAATAAATAAATACTTATGGGTCAACTAAATTAATATAGTTAAATGAACTATTCCTTTTTTTCTGTGTAGGTGCAGCACTTCTCAAATATTTTTATATAAACACCGTTTTGGTGTTTGCTGTATATAACATTTTTAACCATAATTCATGGTGTTTATATTAACACCAATTGGTGTTGGATTTTGACAGCATTTTAAGATTACTCTTTACACCACAGATATTTTAAACAGTGTACTAACGCGTGTAATACTACAACCCAAGTTTGTGTATTTTTGGTACGTCGTTGTGGTAAACTTATTCGCAAGTTAAACAATTTTCTCAGTTTCTTTAAGAAAATTTCTTGATCCATTACTGGTAATATTCATAAGAAAAAATTGAACTTACACCTCGCCAAAGTTTTTTGTTTTGAATGCGTTCCACCAACTTCAATTGTATTGGATCACCTGATGTTCTTACATCTTGCCTTTGTTGGCCTACCAACCGAGCATATAAGCTCAGGAAGTCCTTTGTTTTGAGTGTTTTCCACTACACCAAGTTGCCCGACACTGATGAGACCCAATATAGGTCGAAACAGCTGTCTGTCGGTATTTGAAGTTGGTGGAACGCATTCAAAACAAAAAACTTTGGCGAGGTGTAAGTCCAATTTTTTCTTATTCGCAAGTTGTGTGAAAAATGTGTGCAAGTTTGGTAGTTTTAAATCAAGCTGATAATAGTAAAAAAATCCTTCTCTGATTGGTTGATTCAAGGTT